ACCGTCTGTGACAGTGTGACACCAGGTTTTGGGTGCTTTAGGTTTTAAGAGTTGTAATAGATGCAGATTTCAGATATTTAGTCGTTATCTTTCGCTTGAATATTTAAAGTTTCGTTGTTTTCATGTTATCGTCTTATATCTGTTTTAAAGAAATAATTAAGTAATGAAATAAGTAATTAAATGATTGGCTAGCCTAGTTCACATTAGTAGGCGTCATCACGACTCCCTAGGGTGGAAAATCTGGGTCGTGACAGTTTTGGGGGTTTTGAAAAATGAAAAATAACTGAAAATCCCGTTTAAATATACCCCTCTCATACCCCCTGTATGGACTGCACAAAACGGAGTGCGGCCGCGGAGCTCACAGTGTTGATTGTAGTGACATGATTTAGTATTTTGGACATAGCTTTCTCTACATGTGTCCAAATTGTGATTTCTTTAACTTTCTGGAAGGGCTACCACTTTCCAAAGGGCTACCACTTTCGTTTTTGAATCATCTTAAAATTCCTTGTAGATCAAAAGATATAGGCTTCCGAAGTCGGACCAGTGAAATTCTTCCTCACCGCAGACTGCACAAAAAGGAGTGCGGCCGTAAAGGCCCCTCCGTGGTCAGCACAAAATCAATGCGGTCAGCACTGGCGGGTTTAGAGATCTGCAACATCTCTGGACCTGCAACAGCTATGTTTTAAGCCTAAAACATCCCGGAACCTACCCGAAACTCACCCGAGCCCTCGAGACTTCAAACCAAACGTTCATACTAGCTCAAAAACATCATATGGACCTACTCGTGCGATCACATCATCAAGATAACATGTAAAATCATGAATTAAACCTCAAAACTCAACATTTTCATCAAGAACACTTAAAGTTCATAACTCTTCAACCGGAAGTCCAACTCACGTCAAATAGACTTCATTTTTCACCAAATTTCACAGTTATCATTCAAATACTATAACAAATTTGTACCGAGCTCCGAAATTAAAATACGGGCCCGATACCAATGGTTTCAAACATTAATTTTTTTCTTCATTTCTTAGATAATTCAGCAAAATAATTTCTTTCAAAAAATGATTTCTAAGGCTTGGGACCTCGGAATTCATTTCCGGGCATATGCCTAAGTCCCATATTTTACTGCGGACCTCCCGAGATCGTTGGAACACAGATCCAGGTTCGTTTGCTCAAAATATTGACCAAAGTCAACCAAAAATTAAATTTTTAGCTCTAGAAATTTCTATTTCTCATCTTTTCACATAGAAGGCTTTCCGGATATAGTTCCGGACCACGCATGCAAATCAAAGTGAGGTAAAAGGGATGTTTTTAGGCCTCGGAACACTGAAGTCATCACATACCATCAATTTCAAATACATTCGAATTTCCAAAAACTCTTAAAATTTTAGTTAAATAATTTTCTTCAAAAATTCATTTCTCAGGCTTGGGACCTCGGAATTCGATTCCAGGCATACGCCCAAGTCCCATATATTTCTACGGATCCTCCGGGACGGTCAAATTACAGGTCCGGGTCCGTTTATTCAAAATGTTGACCGAAGTCAACTTAAATTCAATTTCAAAGGCCAAATTAGCATTTTTATCAAATTTCTTCATAAAAGCGTTCCGGATATATGTCCGGACCACGCACGCAAATCGAGGTAAGATAAAANGAAGATATTATCTTTAATTTAAAATTCACTTTAATCGGCTATCTAAAAATTTAAATGATTCTTTCGATGGATTTATTTTAGTATGACTCCATTTTCAGTTTATCGATATCTCTAGCCCCATAATTTGAATTTTTAATACCCTATATATACAAAAATTTTATTCTTTGAATCATTAAATGTTAAATTAGTTGATTATTATTATAAAATATTGCATATATTGTCTTAAAATTATCAAGTACTTTATTTTTCGATATCATACTTGGCTTAACCTCAATGCAAACTACTCAAATTGCATTCCAATTCAAATTCGAATATCATATCATTTTGTTAGTAATAGTGATTTTTTAAAAACGACACATAATGTAAATTAAAAAAAATATTCGAAGATATCCTTATCTTATAATCTATGTATTTGAGTTGAACAAAAAATATTTGAAATCGATGAGATTAACTTTCAAATTTTTTACACTCAACAAAGATGAAACATAAGAAGAAATTTGTTGTCATCTTTTATTTCTCGTTTTTAGATCTTTCTAACATTTTTTTCAATATTTATTTTCTTTTTATCTTATTTTTTTGTCACTATTCTGTTATTACAAAAAATTAATTATTTCACTATAAAAGGATGAGTTTTAATAAAAATTGTCTACATATGAAATTTGATTATATTTTTAGTCTTTGGTTGAAATTATTTCATATTTTTCTTTTGGCTTTATCTAATCAGCCTAAAAAGGTGCTCACCCGACCACTTAAATTAAAAATTGAATGATGTGTAATTTATATATAATCCATATATAATATGTGTATAATCGTGTGTTGTCGGTATACCATCTATTTATATTAGCTATAAAAAGTAAACAATAAATATGGCCAGATATTATGTAAATATTCCATAAGATTTCGGTTTTTTGAGTTTATCCATGATATAACTTCTATTATAATAATTTTAAAACTCTCTACTAATGTTCAAAAATATCTTATCTTTTTATTATCTTTGAATTAAAAAAAGTAAAGATATTTTTCGAAATAATTTGTTTACATTTTTAAAAAAATATTTCACGTCATACCAATTTTTTCTTTATATATACACTTTGTTATACTTAAAAGTCGTTATAGAAACTATCAGTTAGAAACCAATTTATCTCTTGTTGAGTTTGAAAAAAAAACTTTCACATAATCTAATGATTCAAAACTAATATTCTTCAATGAAAAAAATATTATACCCTTTCAACATTGGCTTGACTACAGCTAAATGAATGGGTTTCAGGTTATACCTTTCAGTTCCTTGAATGTGCTAAATTGAAATTAATGATAGCAATTGTATAGCCAAAGTTTTGTTATTTGTTTGATGTCCATTTATGCAAATTGATTCTTCAAACAAACATTCTCCAAGAAGAAAAAAGAAACTTTTTTTTAATATTGATTGATTTTGTGATGTTTCTTTCTCCAACATGTATGTTTACTTTATTATATATGTAAGTAAACTTTTATTTGGTTTTGTAAACTCTATTTTGTTATTTAGATAAACATAGACGTGTACTCTATATATTACATTTATAGTAAAAGAATTTCGTTTTATTCAAATCTAGCTACAGTGTTTCTTGCTTAACCATAATGTCAATCATATATGGTAACTTTCTTGCTTTAATATATATATATAGATATAGATATGTACACGCATGTAAATATACAAGAGACTATTTTTTACTTAGCGTGTATTTGGTATGAAGGAAAATATTTTTTGGAGCATATTTTCAGATTTTCCGTTGTTTGGTTAACTAAATTATTTTTAAAAATATTTTTCTCACAAACTCATTTTCTTTTAATTGGAAAAAAAANCACCCAACTCCCCACCCTCCTTTTTGCTTCCCTTACCCTCCTCATTCCATTGTGTTTGCCTAAATTATATATTTTTTAAAATAATATTTTCTACTGCTAATCAAATACTAAAAAAATTACTCACCAACCAAACATGAAAAAATAAGTAATAAAACGACACATTTTCCAAAAAAAGATTTTGCTGATTACCAAACACACCCTTAATTTACAAGAAAATAAGAAATACTCAACTAAACAGTAGCAACCTAAAGGTCATTATAATTCGAACTCGTTATGCTATATACGGTTTTAACTGCAGTCTTGTGCAATCCAATTTGAGACACATAGGAGGGACTCACTTTAAAGTGACATCATAAAATCTTACATCAAGAATTACGAATTCGAGCTTAATTAATGAGTAAACAAAATTTTATCAATATATTCTAAGCAATCTCTCATAGATTTTTTATTTCGACCAGTAGAAACCATTGGTTACTTTCAGCCAAATCTTTAAAAATAATCACTATCTTCGAGTTTCAAATTTCACAACAAAACTCCAAGCTAATATCCTTAAAACTTTAAAATTCTCGGACATTTGGCTATTTTTTAAATTATAGGGTGTTGAAAAATACCGAGGAATTTTCATAAAGCACTATAGTTTAGAACCTAGTAATTATAGTTTACCTAATTATCATTCATGGTTACATTCAATTGTTATCAGCTTCTATCACGTATATTCAAATGCGCAACGAGTACATCATGTATTAACTGTATTCATTCGGGCAACGAATACAACTTGTATCAATTGTATTCGTTTGCGCAATTGTATTCATTCTCGTAACGAATACAATATGTATCAACAATAACCAAGGCGAAATACAAGGGTGTTACAACATGTATCGACTGTATACATAGATGTATACAAATGACTTACCATGTATCGACTATATTCATTCGCACAATGAATACAGGCGAAATACAGAATACAGAAAAATAAAATGCTCGAGTTGAAATCAAGACTTGTGCTAACTTTAGAGCCCGTTTAGATTGGCTTAAAAAAGTGGCTTTTCAGCGAAATAACTATTAAGCCAAAAAGCAATTAGTTGGGATTGCACAACTTATTATTTTTAGTTTGTTTTAAGCAGTTTTTAACTTAGTTCAAGCATTTTTTAACTTTGCCAAATACTGAAAAAATTTAAAAAGAGCTTAAAAGCTGATTTGGTTAACTTAAAAGCCAATCCAAACACCGTCTTAGTAGGCTCTAACCAACTAAGCTACGAAAGCGTATTACTCTCTTATTTTAGTTTAAAATAGTTAATATTTTGTTTTATGAATTTTCTATAAAATTTAAATATAGCTCCAAATGGTAAACTTTTTGAAAGTATAGCTACGAATGATAATAAAGTGTATATGTTTGATATGTCGCGCAATAGCTATTTGTGAATTTTAACCCAAGTTATTTGATTTGGGCTCGATCCAGTAACTCCAAGAGCTCTTCTCAGGCCCAAAATATACAGGCTGGGAAACACCTCGTTTCACATTCAAAATCACACTCTTAAAACTAATCGCACCGCTCATCGCCGGGACAACCGCCGACGACTTCCTAGGATTTCGACAACATAGGCAACATTTTCCAAAAATGGAGGAAAAAGGCGGCACAATGGCAAACCCTAAAACAATACAAGAACTAGCAGTAGAAGGACAAAAGCATTTAGAAGACACAATAGAAGCAGCACATCAAATTCTCTCCGCCATGAACGACGAGCTCTGCAACCCTACACTCTGGTCAACTACTCCAAATACGGCCGCTACTACTTCTGCTAACGCCGTTATGAGTAACGGACAGCAGCAGCATCATTCTAACGGCGGCGGCGACGTTTCCTCGGATAATTCTTCGTCTTCTTCGGCTTCGGCTCAACAACACTTGGATATTGGGGGCGGTGCCCTTGATGAGTCACGTCTCCGTTATAAGTCGTCAATTGCTTGCTTGCGTTCTGTTCTTACGGCTATTTCTAATTCTCAGAAGGTAATTTTATTTATGGAAATGCATATTTTTGAATTTTTTATATCTAAAATAAGTTAGTGAGATTTGTGTGACTATAAATATCTCATTGAGAGTAATAAAATGGGAAGTTAAAAGTGAATTTGTTTCAAATATAGAAAGGACAGATTAAAAAGGAAAATGTGCCACATAAATTAGGACAGATGGAGTATTTTTTATTGTTAAGATAGTGATCCAAGCAAAAGTTTGTTTGATATAATCATGAATCAACTAAGTCTCAATCTCAAACTAGTTGCGGTCAACTGTATGAATTTTTGCCAGCTAGGGTCGATTATGTGAATAGTCTATATCAAAAATTGTAATGATACAATTTGTTAAGTAAATTAATGAGGAGTAGGAAATTTAAAAGGTGTAAAATGCTCTTAGGGTTTTGGTTCAATGCCAAAGGGACTACCAAGGAGGATGTGTGCTAAGTGGACGTTACGAGTTTGGATTCTATGTGGAGAACTCTAATGTTACAATGCCCAAAATTACTGAGTATTGGAATGAAGGGGTTACTTATGGAGCCAAATGGATATGGAGGATTCATGTACCCGGCCATCAACTAGCGTGAGGTTGAGGCATAGGTGGTGATGGAGGTAATGGTCTGTTAGATAGTAATTTTGACTAGAATATGCAATTAAAATAAATATTCTAGAAATTTTGTTCCTCGTGAGTATTATAGGAAAGAAAGGCATCACAGATGAGCGGTAAAAAATATTTTAGGGATAGCAGGAGGGTTTATTAAATTTGAATGGAGAGGCAAGGGTGGCAGAAAGGTGAATCTTATGGGAAACGAATTTGTTGATTGTTCTGGGTATGACACGGGTGGTTATTTCTACGGGTACAATTTGCCTTTACAATATGCACAAAATTTTTACATGGCTATTTTATATTTTGATATTCTTATCGTTTATAAGACACAAGGATAAGCATTTCTTGAGTTATGAATATAAAATTCACTTGTTTGATCATCCATTGTCATTAGCTGAAAAGCTCAACTGTGCTGCTTACAATTTGTTTGATTTGACTTGTTTCCTTCTGGGGTATGTGGGTGGTTGTTGGGGGAGAGGGGAAGGAATTCAACTATGTTTTCTAGGTTGTGCTCGTTCCTACTGTTTGAACGCTCATGATGAGTAAGTACTTATACTAAGATAAACTATGGCGCTCTATCCTTTTCAAGAAAGATTTTGCACTATAATCACATTTTAGGTCCTTGGATTTGGTATTTGGATTGTCTTACATTTGTGCATTTGGAGATTCTGGTTGAAGGGTTAAGAATTTTGTCTGTTGTGTCTATTTGTCTGTTTTGACAAATAGATCACTGACACTGTATGCTTTTTGATCCTCAATATATGTGCTACTGCACATTATTTGAGTTTATTATATTCTTTTAATAACTTCATACTTTTGAACTGCGCAAGTATTTGCTCCAATTTAACTGCAAATTATCCAAATCTTTTTTTGTGTTCTGCCTCATGGTTTACAAGTTATATTTGCTTGTATGTTTGGAAAGTTGTTCACTTGTGGCGTGATACTTCACACTCTTTACTGATTATGTTAGCTAGGCAAAAGCATTGGAAGCTGCTTCTGCTAGTGGTTCACTATCTGCTGCAGATCAAGCTGAAATTGAGCAGCTGGAGGAACGTGCCTCTACGTTAAAAAAGGTATGGACAACGTATAGAGTTTTGAGGTCTTGGAATTTCTCTGAGATTGTTGTTGGTTTTGGGGGTGCATGGTGGGTGGAGGTTGCGGAAAGGAATGTGTATGCGAAATAGGACCATGATTGGTCGTGGTATTTGCATTTCCATTAAAACAAGATTGAGGTATCCCGCATGCTATCTATCCATCGCGGACATCCCTAGATGTCACACTGTACAAACTTTGATATGTATCGCAAGCTCAAGTCAGAATGATGTGACTTTTTCTGTCATATGAATTTTGTAATTATGATTTTGTAAAATTTGTAATCCTCTTTTATTTGCTTTTTGTTTCCATCTTATGGCAGTGAAAACTCTTCACTGACGTAAAGAGTGTTCTACTTGACTGCATGTTATCTCGTGGTAGATGAAGAAAACAAGTTGCTAATTTGATCTCGAGTAAGCATGTTATATTGTTCTGCGCATTGCAGGAACTTGTAGACAAGAACAAGCATCTCAAGCTTCTGATTGATCAGCTTCGATATCTTCTTTCTGACCTATCAACATGGCAAAGTCCCTGTTCTACATGACTGTGATGCTATAACTTCAAGCAGATAGTTAAACAAGAGAGATGATGGATGACAAAGGAACCGCGTTCAACTCTAGGAAACTGCTTTTTGTTGTACAGAGGTTACTACTTGATCCAAATACTTGGTTATTGCCAAACAACTTAATGCTGCTCGCGGTGTTACTATTCTCTCTGTTTAGATGCTTGGGCTGATATGTGTAAGCATACCTCAGGGAAGAGGGAAAGGGACAAGGGGAAAAGGAGAATGCTTTTGATCTCACTTATTAAGTGCTGATTTATTTTCTTGTACACTATAATTTTCTCCTAGTGGCTAATTGTGCCATGCTTTCCTCTGGTAATGAGCCTGCCATAGCAAAAATAGAGCGTAAAAATGGTGTGTGGTAGCCACTAAATAAGATGGTGTTTATTTTTTATCCACCAATTCTAATGCTGAGCAAAAATAGCCAGTACTCTATTAAAATTATTTTGAAAAGACATTTTTACCCTTTCTTCCATTTCTTTTCTTCCCAAACCCTCGCTTCTCTCTGTACAAAAGTGGCTGGCTATGTGTGCTTCTCTCCCAATCTCTTCTGTGCATTTTTTCTCTCAGTAACACATGGCTATGTCTCTGATCTTAAACTCGCCCTTCAGCCAAGCTATTCTAAATTTACGTCCTTAAATGCATTTTAACTTATTAGTTCCTTCTGTATAAAGTGTCTTTTAATTCATGTGTTTGTGTCTCGAAAAAACACCATGAATGCCTTTTAGAAGATATTTCATGAAAGAGAAAATGAAGGTTCTGTAGTCTTTTATTTTTTTTAGTTGTTTCTTTTTGTTATTAGCTTCTTGTTGTGTAATTTGACATCAATCTTATATGTAAATTGCAATTATTATTATTATTATTATTATTATTTGGTGAAAATATACAAATAACGTTTGGTTTCCTGCTACGTTATTGATCCTGAACTTACAGTTACAAGTTTAAAAGTTAAGGACACTTGGTCCTGAACTTAGAATTACAAGTTCAAAAGTTAAGGATATTTGGTCTTGAACTTACAGTTACAAGTTCAAAAGTTAAGGACAATAGGTCCTGAAGTCCTGAACTTAGACTAGCAAGCTCAAAAGAAGTCCAAAAGTTAAGGACAATAGGTCGTGAAGTCCTGAACTTAGACTAACAAGCTCAAAAGTTAAGGACAATAGGTCCTGAACTTAGGCTAAGAAGCCCAAATCCTGAACTTAGACTAACAAGCTCAAAAGTTAAGGACACTTGGTCCTAAACTTACAATTACAAGTTCAAAAGTTAAGGACCTGAACTTAGAGTTACAAGTTCAAAAGTTAAGGACATGTGGTCCTGAAGCTAAGTTCAAAAGTTAAGGACATGTGGTCCTGAAGCTAAGTTCAAAAGTTAAGGACATGAGAAGGGTATTTTCGTTCGGGCAGTTAAAGTTTATTAAAGCAGTGGCTAAAGATTAAAGACATTTTAAACAGTGACTTAAAAGTAAATACATGTGTTATTAGTGGCTAACCGTGCACTTCCCCCAAATAGAGCTTTGGCAAATAAGCGTGCTACTGATCTTTCTGGTTTTGACTATGAAATGATTTCTGATCGTAATTATTTGAACAATTGGCTACTCAATCTATTTATTCAATCAGTAGTATGTACATTAGTAGCTTAAAAAGAATTTTTTGTTTCTTGACAATTTGCGTATGATTATGATTAGTGAAATATACTTGTTAAAAAATAACAATCAAGTGAAGGAATTCAAACCAACGGAACTTAAATTGGGTTGTGGTAAAAATAGCACGGTATAGCTAGTTTTTTGACTGGACATTCAAAAATAGTCAGCGTTTACGAAGTCAATAAAAAATAGTCACTATTTTGCTGCAACATAGACCGGTTTAGCATAATATACTGGAGTTCGGTGCACCTGTGTATGAACTCCAGCATATTATGCTGGACCGATATACTTGCTGGAACTCCAGTATAATATACTGGAAACTGGAGCACTGATACTCCAAACTCCAGTATATTATACTGGACAATTATACTTGCTGGAACTCCAGTATATTATGCATGAGTTCTAGTATACTTATGCTGGAACTCCATCATATTGTGTTGGAGTTCCAACATACTTATCTCGGAACTCCAGTATAATATGCTGGAGTTCAAGCATACTTATGCTGGAACTCCAGTATAATATGCTGGAGTTCAAGCATACTTATGCTGGAACTCCAGTATAATATACTGGTGTAGTTTTCGGGTTTTAAACAGTGTTTTCGCTCAGATTTATCTTTACATAAAAAGTAGCTAAATTTCAATTACTTTTGAAATTGGGCTATATTTAAACGATCAGTTGTAAATCTGGCTATTTCTGAATTTCTCCTGGATTGTGCGGTTCAACATTGAGTCAATCGATCACTATTCTTCTATAAGCATGTGAGTGAATATCCTTTAAACTATTGATCTGAAGAGGAATTTCTCAAGAGAAGTTACACGGCTGAGCATCTTTAAAAAAATATTTAAGAAAATAATATCATTTGTTGTTTGATCCAAAAATGACATATTGTTTTACAACACTAGCATATTGTATAAATTATGCCCACAATTAATGAGGCACAAATCATGAAATTTGTTACACTCTCCTCTCTTATGTTCTATTCTAAATTTCATCGTCTCTTCATTTCACCTGAAATATATTCTAAATATACTCTCTCTCTCT